ACTATTCTTTATTTTTATATTTCGCGGTGCATTTAAAAAGACTAAAACAATTTTCTTTACTCCAACTACATCGATAGTTAAACAATCTATTCTACCTAGTCTCTCTCGACCGAATGTCCACAGGCATCCCGAATAACAAAAAATTCCCGTTTTCCTCTTATAAAATTTAACCGGCAACCGAAAGACTGTACTAAGCTTTAATTTCAAAACCGTTTCAGTCTCTCTCGGTCAACAAACCACAGGAAGCCCATGTGTGCACAATCTAGTGTGTACATCTAGTTTACAGTTAAAAGATTCATTACTTTAAAATAGACACCAGTCCCGTATCAAAACCGGGACTTTTCGTCAAAGGATCCACAGGGAACCCATTGTCTTAAAAAAAACAAAACAGATAGCTCGCAAGTAACCCTTACAATATCACACAGGGAACCCGTTATACGCTAAACAAGGGATTCCCATCAGGCCCTGGGATGGGGGTACCTTTAAGGCTTATGATGTAAAGAATTAAGGTCACCATCCCAACAACTATAGCTATAGCTACGACCGCTATACCCCTGGACTTCCAAGTGCGTATAAATTTCGCGGGTGCAAATATTGTTAAAAATGCTAGCGAAAACGACAATGTATACACAATAGATATGGCTGTGTTAATAGCTAAGATTTGACCAAACTTGGCAAAGAGTTGGATGGTTGTGAAACATAGAGGAATTGAGGCTGCAATGGTTGTCATGGCGGAGCTTAGTATTGACGATCCAATGTGGGACACTGCAGCCGCTGTTCGCCAGCTCCTGATATCCTGTACAAACATTATGAGTTTAATGCAAGAACGTTTTCGAGGAATGGTTGAAGAAAAAAAAAATTATCAAAAACAAAAAAACAAAACAAAAATAATCAACACATGTTCCATACCTTATTTCTTGTAAGATGTCTTGGTACATATCTTCCAGATATTATATATCCGTCAATAAGGTGTACGCAATAATCCACCGATGTCCCGACAAGAATTGACAGGGATATGGCCTCGACTGCTCCTAGTTGCCATTCCACAAGGTAGAAAATACCAACCACAAAACATAGTACACCTAAATGAGAATACAYGGTAWAWGTTTACARCAATCTTGAACCCAGAGCCTKCACTTTWRCCATCCAGCGGATGTCAATGCGACGTCAGCATACCGCTGACAATAGCCGTGAAGATTAGGTGTGTTCGCAAAAGTTAAAATTTTAAAAAAATTTCCAGAAAAATTTTAAAAATTTTTCAAGATTTTGTAGTTTTTCTCGATATTTAAAGCGGTTTTGGTCTAAAAATTTCAGGATTTGTTGAGTGATCCTTTTTTGAATTCTGATTCTTGATATTTTGAGATTTTGCATGTACACAAACATCAGACATTTTCTGTAAAATCTTTCAAATTTGTAGAAATATTAAGTTCTGCCAAGAACCTAAATATTGAACCATTCTTGTACCCAGACCCATCTCAGGTTCCCAAAGGAAAACCGAAGGCTCTGGATGGAGACGATACTGGAAGATCCAGAATCTGGGTGGTATGATATAATCCATGGGAATTTTCAAACCAATCAAATCAAAGAATCATTTGTTTCCAACCAGAGCCGACGACTTTCCGTCGGGAAAATTGAGAGGGATCTGGGTACGATAATGAATAATGAATCATTTCACATACCTAATATGGTAAAAATTGCAATGATTGACAGCATCAAGTGACCAGTGAAGATAACTACAGCAATCAGGCACAGACACAATGAGAATACGATACCATATATGGCACCACTGATCGCTATGACCTCCATGAACATGTGGACCCAGGACTCTGAACTGTGGAATGCAGAATCAAGRGCTTCGTCTCCTATCTTCTTGATTTGTGCCTTTAGGAACTTATCGAACTTATAATACCACATTAGCATCTCCGTGGAGGACATCCCCTTGTCTATAGTCTAAAAGAATGTATAGTTATCAATAAATAGAGTATATAACATGGTCGCGCGGAGATACGCGGATATATAGAAGATATTAAATGAGCGCGGGGAGATACGGATTTTATCTTTGAGTTTTGAAAAGATCTCTCACGTGTTAGCGTAGCGAACGAGTGAGAAATTTTCAAAACAAGAAGATAAAAAAGTGACCATGTAATATTCTGTTTATCATATAAGTATCTATGAAAAACAAATTATAGTTGGAAAGAACAACACTCCAGTTTCAAAACCTCTCTTTAGAGAAGCAATAGTCTCAATAGTCTCCTTCACGGTTACCTGCGCCATCTTGAAAGGTAGCCGTGCCTTTGCATCGAAGCGAGACAACCGTTGAGCGTGCAATGATAGAAACCTGTGAAGAATTGTCTGTAGGTGTGAAAGAAGGTTTYTATCATTGCACGCTCAACGGTTGTCTCGCTTCTATGGAAAGGCACGGCTACCTTTCAAGATGGCGCAGGGAACCGTGAAGGAGACTATTGCACACAAAGTGTTATGTATAGTTTACAACACGAACGGCCGTGTTGTATGGGACGATCTCATCACCTGTATGCCATTGAATAACTACCATCACTTACTGTCTCAAATGTCATCATCAGCCATAATGCTTTTGATGAATTGCGGTAGATTATATGGTCCATATTCTTGTAAAACATGTGTGCGTCCGACCTTCCCTTTAAGTCGGTATTAGAGGGCTTAACGCCTTCGCACTCCTTCAGACGATATCGATCAAGAAGCTGCCACAGCCAGTCCGGGAAGCACTGGGAACCACCCTCTTTGACGAGTTCTTTGTTGTTTGAGAAAGCTGTGCATATCTGGCACATATAGCTGATGAATCTYGACTTGTGCTCACGGTAAAGAAGTGTGAATTTTGTATCCATGATAACTGATCCCTGGAGTGATGATAGAAGAAAAAAGATTAAATATCAGGTAAACATRATTATTATAATTCAGTAGCAAACGGGTGTCCTTGAACAAGAGCACTTCAAAGCACCTAAAGTGGTTGGTAAAACCCTTTAATGATTGACACAAGATTTTATCTGTCTTTGTGTGGGTGGTTTTCTGGCCATGGCAGATCAAAGAATAAATTTGAGGAACACTGGTATGGRAAAATTCAAAATAGCGTGATAGCGAGTTGACTGTATATGCCAAACATGTACCTTATCTCCAAGSACATGTTGACTAGCATCTGAACTTCGATTGATGCCTTTGATACCAAACACAAGTTTGACATGCACAGTTTTGCCAAGAACTGGTTTAGCTGCTGGCTGACAGCTGCTTGCCTGGGAACACAGATCTGGAGGAGT